TAGTGGCCTGCACGATGTTCTTTAGGCGGCGGAATGTTATGACATTTGTCATCCCATACCCACGGTCTAACTGTAGTTAACAATTTAGGTGCGGGATTGTCAGTCCCATATAGATCTTTACACAAATTCACGCTCTTCCTCTAGGACTCTATGTTTATAATCAGGACTTTAGCGTGTACACTAAAAGGTACAATGAAGTAGTGACTCAAAATCCTGTATTAACTTGTTTACATATAGTGTGTAAATGTTCTCTTGTTCTTGTAAATGTATGTATACCTCTTTTGTAGTGTACGCGTAATGTAAAATAATTATACTTAAATAATTATTGTAGTATTGTATCTTTGAACTTAGTAAAATAGTGCATGAGTTCCATAAATCATACTTATTATAATTTATCATGTATATTCTTGTATTGTTCCTTGAACTAGTAAGTAGTATGTATGTTTCATAAACTATACATATTATAGTTTATATGTATGTTATGTGTACTGGAATATTTATGAAAATACCTCTTTGTTGGGCATGTTACAAAGAGGTTAAAGTTTTATTTAAATAAGTTATATATATATATATATATATATATATATATATATATATATATATATATATATATATATATAATTGAGATTAAAGAGACAGTCAGACAACTGATTCTACCCTAAGCCTAGAACCAAACAAGGAATAGGAGTTAAGGCCAAAGCACCAGTCCTAAGGCTATTAAACCTATATATATATATATATATATATATATATATGTGTGTGTGTGTGTGTGTGTGTGTGTGTGTGTGTGTGTGTGTGTGTTTTGGTAATAAAAACTGTTGTAACAGTTGAAATAATTTGGAATAGTTTGAAACCGTTTAAAATCGTTTGAAATCGTTTGAATGCTAACACTAGATTCCTTGTTTTTTACTTGTATCCCCCCCCCCCCTAAAACATTGAAAAATAGTGACAACGTAAGGGTATGAACTCACCTCGAATCTGCGTTCTTGTTTGGATACGAAGTGGTAGCAATGATCATCGGGTTAGAATCCGTGCGAGTAGTCGAATCCTAATAATAAATATACCATAATTTAAATAGTGAATTAAAGTGTTAGACAACACTAAATTATGTGAGAAATACTTACAAAAATTCTCGGGAATTATTTGAAGGTGTTGTTTGGTGAAATATGAATATTTGAAGATATTCTTAAGGAAAATAAGGAGATTTGAATATGGGATGAATGTTCTTGAGGGATTTCGGTTGAAGATTTGAAAACTGGATGATGATTTGGGCGAAATATTTTGAAGATATGAAAATCACGTATGAGTTTGAGAGCAAATTTGAGGTGTTTTTCAGTTTGGGATATGATAAATGAATTGTGTTTGTGGTTAAACACACACACACACATACATACACACACAAACACACACACACACACACACACACACATATATATATATATATATATATATATATATATAAGATGTTTTCAGACCTAATGAGCCCAAAACATAGAGAGTTCGATCCTATTGATGGGTTTTGATAGGGTTTTCAGTCCAAAGTCAAAAAGAAAAGGGGTTTTCGGTCTTAGAGTAAAAACAGAAAGGTTTTCGGTTTTGGCTTTCCAAAAGTAGGGTGTTTTCGGTTTTAGTTAGTGATTAGATTCCTTAAACCGAAAACTCCAATGTAGTGTGATATTTTATGGTTTTAGCTTTAATATGTAGACTTGTGTTGACTTATAATAACTTAAATCAACATGGGTTTTAATATTTACTTAATTATTAGTTTCTAAACATCCCCTCGTGGCTATAGATGATACAATGTAACAAGGTTGAAATTGTGGTTTCACTTATACTTGATTAAGATTTTGACTTTTATTGATTTGAAATAACGGTTGTTACAAATATATATATATATATATATATAAAATTTTATGTCAACTAGCTTTCGATCTCTCTGGGATTTAATTTCTAATTTAGGTGTAAAATGACTTTTAATTTTAATGTGAGCTATCGACTTCATTTATGTTGAAGATGCTTATTTATTATTTTATTTTATATTAAAAAGGTTAAAAAGATAATAAATCAAGATGAAGGTTATGTTTGGCGCACTACGGATAGCTAAAAAACTAACTTATTTTTCGAGTTGTTTTAAGTTGTCATTTTGGCAAGACAAAAAGTAACTTATAAACTAGCTTTTTAAAAAGCTCATTAGACTTAGCTTTTTAAGATTTTTTTAAAATTTTTTCCAAATATACCCCTTAAATAATTATAAAAACAAATTCATTTAAAAGTATTTTTGTGTTATTTCATATTTTTCAGTTAGCTTTTCAGCTAGTTTTACCAAACGTTATTTTTTATCAGCTAGTTTTTTATTTAATACTTAGCTTTTTATTTAGGCTATGTGTAGCGTACTAGCTGATAGCTGAAAAGCTAGCTGTTAAATCAAAAGCTATGTGACATCTGATAAAAAATAACGTTTGGTAAAACTAACTGAAAAGCTAGCTGAAAAATGTGAAATAACATAAAAGTACATTTAAAATAATGTGTTTTTATAATAAATTAAGGGGTGTATTTGAAAATTGCTAAAAAAACTCCTAAAAATCTAGTCTAAGTAGTTTTTTAAAAAACGAGCTTATAAGCTACTTTTTGGCTTGACAAACACGACAACTTAAAAAAGCTCAAAAAAATAAGCTAGCTTTTTAACTAGTTGTGGTGCGGCAAACACAGACAGACTATGTTTAGCGTACTAACTGAAAAACTAGTTGTTAAATTGAAAAGCTAGTTGATAGCTGAAAAGTTAGCTGTTATATGAAAAGCTAGCTGGTAATTGAAAAGATAGCTGATAAAAAATGACGTTTGGTAAAACTAGTTGATAAGCTAGTTAAAATATATAAAATAACATAAATAGGCATTCGAAAGAATATGTTTTTTATAATTAGTTAAGGGTATATTTGGAAAATTTTATAAAAAGCTAGTTTAAGTAGCTTTTTAAAACGTTAGCTTATAATCTATCTTATAAACTATTTTTTACCTTGTCAAATATGACAACTTATAAAAGCTCAAAAAATAAACTAGTTATTAACTAGTACAATAATAATAGCTCAACTATCTTTTCAGTGAATACACTAAACATATCCGAAGAATAATAAAAGTTGATAACGATGTGTAAATAATTATAAAAGTTATAAAGTATATATATATATATATATATATATATATATATATATATATATATATATATATATATATATATATATAATGGTTATTTAGATTTAACAATCTTCACCACTTACTTTACTTGGTAAGCTATCTTTATAGGAATTAGCCCACATATAAGAGTAGACAGAAGAAGATAACGCGACATTGCAAAACAAGACTATGTAGTTTCTGTATATTCACAAAATTATAGACCATTTCAAGAAGCTTGTTTTTAAACTAGGATGTTTCTTTAAAGAAATCTATTTGATTTAACAAATTAGACTAGCATGTTCTAATTCATTGCTATATAAATCTATGGAAACAAATTATCCATTTAATCCATATAAGCAAAATATTATGATAACATAAACTACAATTGATATTTTTTCTATATTAGATTAATCTTAATCTAGAAAATATAATTCAATATAAGACCCTTTATAATAGAATCACCAAATAAATAAATAAACTTAATCAAAGGTCGGCTCTTGTGGTTAGGGGTGAGCATTTGGATTTGTAGATCGGACCGGACCGTTTCTTTTGGATCCCCGGGCGGCTCTGGTTCTAGGATTTCAGCAAAATCGGTTCGGTCCGGCTAGTTCCGGGTAAAAACCGGTTTTTGACCGATTTATTTTTAAAAAAAATTATATTTTGTAAAATTTTTTAAACAAACATATCTCATTTGTTTTAAGTCTGATTAACATGTAAGTTTTTCCAACATGTAATGTAGAGTTTATAGATTATTTTAGATTATAATTTTGTTGTTTTTGGTGTTATATTTGATGAATTACAATCCTTCAAAGATGATATATCAAAGTTGAAATATTTAAGTTTTTTAACAAGAAATTTAAACTTTTGTATTCTGTAAAAATTTTTAAACAAGTATATTTAATTCGTTTTATGTCAGATTAACATGTAGTTTTTTCTAACTTGTAATTTAGAGTTTGTAGATGATTTTAAACTATAATTTTATTGTTTTTGATATTGTATTCGATGAGTTATAATGTTTCAAAGATGAGATATTAAAACTGAAATATTTCAGTTTTTTAGTAAGAAATTTAAACTTTTGTATTTTGTGAAAATTTTTAAACAAACATATCTTATTCATTTTAAGTCGGATTGAAATGCGATTTTTTCCATGGACCTGGACCTGTAAGTCTCATCCGGTCCGGTCCACGGTCCACAATATTCTTCGAAACCGATCCAATCCAAAAATCTTTTCAATTCAGTTCAAATGTTCACCCCTACTTGTGTCCATGAAAATTTGCATGTAATGCTTCTAGAGCATGAGACATGATTAATCTGTGCACAAAAGCGGATTCGTATCTCTTTAAAAAATAATAATAATAAATAAAAAAGGAATTTTTTTTTATCACTATCAACAAACTTTGGGTATATTCCTTTGACATTTACCAATTTTTATTATTTATAGAAAATAGCAAATTTGATGCCACCCCCACATCATGACACCTTCTCTGCATCAGCATCTCTGCATGGGTTAATGCCTTGTGCTATGAGAACTATAAAGAACCCTCACCATAGTTGTAATCCTCTATAACCCCCACCCACCCCACCCCTTACCCCTTCTCTTTTTCTCTTTATGTATATGTATAGATGATGATTACATATATATAAAAGTTTCATATATTGAAGGGATTTTACATTGACGCACCGCTTCATACATGGAAGGGGGTTTTCAGTGTCGACATTCCTTATCGCAAAGTAACCATTTTTAGCCCAAGAATCTGCTCTTTATAAATGGATTCATTCATCCAAACCGTAATCAACATTACTAGGGTTTTGTTTTTCGAAACAAAGCAATGCAGAAGTTAAACTCCTCTGATGAGATCAGCATTCTGGAACACGATTTGGTAAAGACTACAATTTACCCTTTCGTATCGTTTCATAATCACGAAAAAATAAAAAAAAAATTGTTCGAGTTCTTATTTCTTGAAATTACGCTGCATACCCACTTCAAATATTGATGGGATTTTGATTATTTAATCCGGGTTCTTGTTTATTTTGAGTTTCGTTTTGAGTTACGAAGAATCTTGGATTTCTTGATGATGTTCTTGAGGTTACACTTACGAAGAAGCATCAAGAAAAAATTCAAATCCAACTTTGTTTAATTTCGGACTTGTTTTTTTACTCATTTCTTGTGTAAAATGTCAATTGATTTTGCCCAATACGTGATTATTTTATACATGTATGTAGTGGTTCGAATTCTGTGCCCCTAATTGAATTATCAATTTTGTCCCCATTCTTTTTCCCCTTACTTTACATTGTACACTTTGATAAACACTAATATGCTTTAAACTGAATGAATTTTAACCTCTCCGATGTATAAATTAAAGAATCTTCACTTTAATGAGTATAATTTACAAGTTCAAATAAAGATCTACGTAATTGGTTTCTAGTTATTCATTATTGCCTCATTGGAAGATCCTAATGCTCTAACTTTTAATGACCTATTTATCGTCTAAAGTTACAAGTAATGAGCCAAAATCAAGATTATAAACTTTCTTTTTTATGTTGAACAAACCAAAAAATCGAGTGAAAGATCTGACTTTGTGATGAATCTTTTTTCTTGAATTGCAGGCTGAATTGAAGAAATCAAATAGGCTTGTAGATGACAACAACAATACTTCAACTATACTTAAGACTAGGCTTGAAAGACTGTTGAAGGAAAGAGAATTAAGAAAATCTTTAAAATCATGCAATGATCAAGATGTAAATAGTAATATTGTAGATGATCAGAATCAGATAATTACACCATTAACAGATAATTTGCCTACTGAAGAAGAATTGGTGAAAGGTCTTAAAGCAAGCAAACTGATTACTAATGAAAGTGAAAGAGAAGATAGAAGTCCTTTCAAACAACGGTTATTAGTTGTAGCCAATCGGCTTCCTGTTTCTGCAGTTAGAAAAGGTGATGCTTCTTGGCAACTTGAAGTAACTGTTGGAGGCTTAGTTAGTGCACTTTTGGGTAAGTTTTTGATTTTTTCCCCTTATTTCCTCACTTGGGTATGCATGAATTTACCTGAAAATAAGTTTTATAGTGTAAAAAACCTAAAGAATACTCTTTTGTAAGTTTTCTTTTTGTATTTTGTCAGTTGGGTAAGTTTTACAATGTAAAACAAGTAAAAAACAAATACTTTTAGGCTAGTTTTCTATTTTCTTATTGATATATAAAATTTTGTTATGTTGAAGGTATAACCGATTTTGAAGCAAAATGGATCGGATGGGCTGGAGTAACTGTACGTGATGAAATTGGCCGAAAATCTCTTACTGAAGCTTTAGCTGAAAAGGTTGAGTGTTTATAACTAATAATTACAAAAAGTCTTTCATATATGGCAATTTATTCATATGCAGAGATCATTTCCTGTTTTCTTTACAAAGATCTTGTTTCGTCTATGTTACATCACTTAATATCAACTCTTTATATCTACCAATTACAAAAAACACGATCTTTTATAGCATGCAAAGAGCCAAAGATACAATCTTTATAGCATTTTGTTGATATTACAAAACATTACACAAATTCTTTATACCTAATAGTTACAAAAAACCAATCTTTTACATAATTTTCTTGATACACACTGATGCATTCCTGTTTTTCTTGAAAAATATCGTGTTCATCTATATTACAAAACAAAGTGTCAAATCTTTATCGCTTACAATTACAAAGATACAATCTTTATATCATTTTGTTGATATTACAAAACATTACATAGAATCTTTATAACTAATAGTTACAAAAAACTGATCTTTTACACATTTTCTTGATACACACTTGTTAATCTATATTACAAAACAAAATGTCAAATCTTTATCGCTTACAATTACAAAGATACAATCTTTATATCATTTTGTTGATATTACAAAACATTACACAGAATCTTTATAACTAATAGTTACAAAAAAACCGATCTTTTACATCATTTTCTTGATACACAGAGATGCGTTCCTGTGTTCCTTGATGAAAATCTTGTGAATCTATACTACAACGGGTACTGCAACAACATCTTATGGCCACTCTTTCATTACTTGGGCCTCCCTCAAGAAGACAGCCTTGCAACAATTTGGAGTTTTCAATCACAATTTGAAGCCTACAAGAAAGCAAATCAATTGTTTGCAGATGTAGTAAAAGAACATTATCAAGATGGAGATATTGTTTGGTGTCATGATTACCATTTAATGTTTCTTCCTAAATGCTTAAAGGAACAAAATGAAAACATTAAAGTTGGCTGGTTTTTGCATACTCCATTTCCATCTTCTGAGATCTATAGAACAATGCCTTCAAGATCAGAATTGCTAATTGCAGTTCTTGCAGCAGATGTAGTCGGGTAATTACATAATATTTTCTTATCAAGACATTGTTCTTTGATAGTTTTCTTATTAAAAAAATATTCTCTTTTTTGTTTTTGTTTTGGTTTTAGGTTTCATACGTATGATTATGCAAGACATTTTGTGAGTGCATGTACTCGTATTCTTGGGCTTGAAGGTACTCCAGAAGGAGTTGAAGATCAAGGGAGACTCACTCGTGTAGCTGCAGTATGTTTACTTATAAATTATCTCCAGATTAAAAATTTGAAAAGTCAACCGAATTATCTATGAGGCTAAGAATTGGACTTGTGATTTGAAATCTGCAGTTTCCTATTGGGATTGATTCTGATAGATTTGTAAAAGCCATTGAACTCCCTCAAGTCAAGAATCATATAAAAGAATTCCAGGAAAGATTTGATGGTCGAAAGGTGAAATAAATAAATGATCTTTAGTTTACCCTTTTTTTTAATAATGGAAACAATATTTATAAAAAGTTGCACAAAATTTGAGATAATTAGTGTTTTAGGTAATGTTAGGAGTTGATCGGCTTGATATGATTAAGGGAATCCCACAAAAGCTATTGGCATTTGAAAAGTTTCTTGAAGATAATCCAAATTGGCAGGATAAAGTAGTCTTCGTGCAAATTGCTGTTCCAACAAGAACAGATGTTCTTGAGTGTATGTTTCACTATTTCAACCGATTTTTTTATATAAAAACGGTTTATTTATGGTTTTATTGTTTTTCTTAACAGATCAAAAACTTACATGTCAAGTTCATGAAATTGTTGGAAGGATTAATGGAAGATTTGGGACACTTACAACTGTCCCAATTCATCATTTGGTGCGTCTTTTTTTTATTCTACTGAAAAACGTGTTGTAGGTCCCATCTGGCTATGCATGATAGAACAGGTTGTACTGCTTTTTGACATGCAAATGAGCATGGGATTCGTGTTAATGAGACAAAAGTTGCAACTTTTTTACGTGGAGATTTTAACTTTCTTGAGTCATGTCTTATTTTCTTGTTTGATTTATCAAAAAATGTTGTAATGTTATTTATTGTGCATTCAACAGGATCGGTCTTTTGATTATCATGCCTTATGTGCACTATATGCTATAACGGGTATTGTTTTGATCTTCCTATACTATTTTATATTAATTGCCATTGAATTTATTAACATTTTTTGTGGTTTATATTTAGATGTGGCATTGATTACATCTCTAAGGGATGGAATGAATCTTGTGAGCTATGAATTCGTCGCCTGCCAAGCTTCAAAGAAAGGCGCCCTAATTCTAAGCGAGGTCATCATTCATCTTTAAAGACAAAAAAAAAATTGTATAATGCGTTTGTGTTTTTGTTGTATTGGACTTTAGACTGAGACTAGATCTAGTATCATGTAGGACAAAAATTGCAACTTTTTCTCCTACCTAAAAAGGTGGAACAAAACGGTGCATCCTTGTGCTGTTTTTGGTATGAACTGAACTTAGACCGATAAACAGATAGATTGTTGAGGTCAAATAGGACAAAAATTTCAACTTTTTCTCTTGTACTGTTTTTAGCATGCGTTGGACTTAGACTGACTGACCGACAAACTGTTGATGTCAAAGAGGACAAAAAATGCAACCTTTTGTCCTAACTGAAAAGTAGAACAAGATGGGACGGTACTAGCGCTCGATACCTTGTTTGTGCAAAAGGACATGAATGCCCTTCTCATCCTCTTTTTATTGAAAATAACCCTAGGAAAGCTTGTGTAGTCTCATTCATGTATTTTTCTTTTTAGCTTTTTTTTCTTTCCATATTTAACCTTTTTCTATTTTACATATATCTAGTTTGCAGGAGCTGCACAGTCTCTCGGGGCAGGAGCAATTTTGGTAAATCCATGGAATGTAACTGAAGTAGCTTTTGCGATTGCTTACGCCCTAAACATGCCATCCGAAGAGAGAGAAAAACGACATCATCATAATTACGTTCATGTCACTACTCATACATCTCAAGAATGGGCCGAAACTTTCATTAGGTTTGTATTTCATTTTATTTTTTACTTTTTCCATTCTTTTTTATTAAATAATTTATTTACCTTTTTACCCTTGCAGCGAACTCAACGATATGGTTGTTGAAGCTCAACTTAGAACAACACAAATTCCACCTTTACTTCAAACCGAACACACAATCGAACGTTACATGCGCTCCAATAACCGTTTACTCATTCTGGTATCCTTTCTTCCCAACTTTTTTTTTGACCAAAACGCCCCCCGTTTTATTATCTTTTTATGAAATTCGGGCACTTGATAGGGGTTTAATGTGACATTAACCGAACCCGTGAATGCACCGGATAGACGCGTGGATCAGTTTAAAGAAATGGAAAGTAAATTGCATCCTGAATTAAAAGAACCTTTGAAGAGGCTTTGTAATGATCCAAAGACAACGGTTGTGGTGTTAAGTGGAAGCCATCGATCCGTTCTTGATAAGGTGTTTCTTTTTTTTTTCTTTTTTTTTTTTTGGGTGATTTGACTTTTGTTGACTTGATAATTTTGCAGAACTTTGATGAGTATAATGTATGGCTTGCGGCTGAACATGGTGTGTTTGTTAGAACGGGGAATAAAAAATGGTTACAAAATTTATCTGATAATATAAACATGGATTGGGTTGAAAGTGTTAAGCATGTTTTTGAGTATTTTACTGAGCGGACCCCACGCTCGTATTTCGAGCTCCGTGAGACTTCAATTGTTTGGAATTATAAGTACGCAGGTAAAAAACAAATTGTCTAATGTCTACTGTGTCTACTCTGTACTATATAGTATAACTTATATTGGTCTACTGACACTGTTAAAGATATCGAGTTTGGGAGACTACAAGCGAAGGACATGTTGCAGCATTTGTGGACGGGGCCCATATCAAATGCATCGGTGGAAGTGGTCCAAGGTGGGCGGTCTGTGGAGGTTCGGGCCCATGGTGTGACTAAGGTTGGGAATTTTTTACTTTGGCTTTTAATTTTATGGATTGATCTTGTTAAACAGTGTTGATCTTTTTTGCAAAATATTTTTAGGGTGCAGGGATAAGTGGCATTTTAGGACAAGTTATACATGATAAAAATATGAAGGATCCGATTGACTATGTGTTGTGTGTTGGCCACTTTCTTCCCAAGGTATGTTTCTTGTAGAAAATACTTAATTTATCGGTAAATACATTAATAATTTAACATTTGGGATATTGGTTATTAATTTTTTTTCCTTATTATAATAGTTGAAGTTGATATTGTTATGATTGAAAATGTCTGTATATACATGCAAAAATTGGATCTTAATTTGATTAAGTAATTATATTTTTACCCTTACAGGATGAAGATATTTACACATTTTTCGAGCCTGAGCTTCCAGCTGCAACACCAACTCCGACCCACTCAAGTTTAGGGAGTCCGGGCAACGAGTTTTCTCCAAATCATTCTGCTCGGAGGACGGGATCCGGGGGATATTCCGTTTCAGCTTCTGATAGTGAAGACTGGGGCTCGAACGGGAAGCGAAGCAGCAACACCACCATGGATGCACACAACAAGGGTCCATCGGTTCTCGATCTTCAGGGTGACAACTACTTCTCGTGTGCAGTTGGAAGGAAGAGGTCTACTGCAAGGTATCTTTTGAATTCATCGGCTGATGTGGTGACTCTGTTGAAAAAACTGGCAGATTGATTGATTGATTGATTGATCTGATTGTGGGAAGATGATGGATGATAGATACATATAATATTATATGTGTAGAGGTTTTTGTGGTCTTTTTGTGAAACTGTGTCGTTTTTAGGTTTTTTGATGAGGGCTATTTTTTTTTTTGAAGAACGAGATCTTATGGTGGTTTTTACAGTTATGTTTTTGCTAGCTTGCTTGATCGTTAATGGCAGCTGGTACCACTTCGTTCTTGATGATTTTAAGGTTTTTGATATAATAAAACTTCGTTTTTCTTTTTTATTTTTCTTAAAGTCAACTAAATTGTGTTTCATGTATGAAAAACCCGGTCTTTTTTATAGTTATGTGTGGAAGTTATTGATCCCTATAGCTTTTTTGGTTTTGATTTTTGTTAATTTTATTTAACAAAACTTTTTTTAAACATGTGTTTGTGAAATATTTTATGAACATTAAATAGACTATCTTCAGAAGGTTTTTTTTTAGAATGAACTAATTTACCATTATGTTTGTGTAATAAATTCCAAAATTCTATATAATTTGTTGTTTTTCAAACACAAGTATATTTTAAAATATATAGAATAATAGCTATGTGGTGTCTTATTTTCAAACAAAAACAAAATAAAATCATTATATGTATAGTTGTAAAATAGATTACAATAAAAATACTTAATATTAAAAATTAGGGAAGTTTTTGAAAAAATTCTAATATTTTGGGTTAATTTACAGTTTAATTTCAACTTTTATTTTTAACAAAAAAAGTCCGATTATTTTGTATTTTGCTGAAATTAACGAAATAGTCATTATTCTATTATTTTTTCAACATAAAATGACAGATTATCGTATAAAATTAGATAGTTAGATTTTTTTTTGTTTAAAAAATAAATATCAGGATTAAAACGTAAACTAATAGAAAATATTAGAACTTTATCAAAAATTTCCCTAAAAATTAAAATAAAATAATTAATTAGTCGAAAAAAATAATGAAAATTTGAGGGTTAAATACAATCAAAAAAGTAAAATATAGCATTGTTGCACAAAAGGTTAAATTTTGTGTGAACGGTCAGGTTAGTGGTTAGAGTTAGTATCACGAAATCGTCAACCTTTAGACCATTCGGTACGGGTCCAACGAGAAGCAACAGGGGGTGAGGTGGCACCCCTCAACGGCGTTATGATACGGGGAACACCCCCCCCCCCCCCCCCCACCTTGTTGCATATTGTCATGGAAAATATCGTTGCATCTTGTTGGCGTTGTGACGAATTGAAACGGGGGAAAACCAACTTTTTTTTTTTTTTTCTTTTGGTGTTGCATCTTATTGCTCATTTCCCCACTTGGTGTTATAACACCACTTGCTTATGTGGCATGTGAAGTGGTGTTGCACCTTGTTGCCCACAGCCAATACTCTTAGATTAGAACTCGAAACTTTTAATTTAAGAGGCAAAACCTCTATTAAATGAGTTAATCCCACATTGGCTGCACAAAAGATTAATTGCAGAAAAAAAAAAAAAAAAAAAAAAAAAAACATTTATTAAAATATGAATGATCGATAATAATAACCGAAAAATTACCGTCTTCGATGGTAAAAGAAACATTTTATGAAGTTGATTCTATACTATTAACATCTCAAAAAACTTCTCTTAGGGATGCAATACGACTATATTTAGCAACAGTATAAAACAATTTAATCTTATATTTCTCATGTCTCTTTCTTCCGTTACAAATTTCAACTCATTCAAGTTTTGTACGTTTATTAGCAATTCAATAAAACCCAACACTTTCTTAGAAAATATTATTATTTATAAGAACTTATTATTAACTTTTTTTTTTTTTTTTTTTTTTTTTTTTTTTTTGAAAGGGATCTTCCCTAACGAGGGTTTCCGGGCCAGCTTTCGCGCACCGACTAATCCCCTGCTGCAAACATAAAGCTTTGCTTCATGCCCTGGAGTCACTGCAGGCGAACCTCCATGGCCACAAGGGCTGAGTGGTGCCAGGATTTGAACATGGGTCAATAGGTTATCCACCATATCTTCCACATGCCTTACCAAATCACCACAACCCAAGTGGTTAACTTATTATTAACTTTAAGATTGAAACAAACAAAAAAAAAACTTTATATCATTATAAAATATAAACTTTTACTATTTCTACTTATTTATGATTGTAAGAAAAAGTATTAATTTTTATTTATACAAAAAAATTTACAGATTTTCACATAATTCATGTTATTATCAAAATAAAGTCTAATGATGACTATTTAAGGTTGGCTATAAAACATTAAATAAAGTCACCAAGAATGGAGAAGACACAAATGGAGAAAGAGAAAACAACCCTTATGATATAACCCCAAATATAATTTTATGTTGTTTATTTATCTCGAAATGATATCAAAGTTTAATAATTTTTGTCCCTTCATTTTTCGTTATATATTTTCATTATATTTAATAAATTGCCCCTCAGTTTTAAGTTATATATTTTCATTCACCAATTATGTTGTAAGTGTGTAACGTCCTAAATTTTAGAGTAAAAATTTTATTTTTAAAATAGAATAAACACGGTTTATTAGTAAAGTTACATTCAAATCAAATCAATTGTTTATAAACTATTATCCAAAAATTAGAATTATAAGGAAGACAATGTGGATTCTTGAATGATAAAACTATTGATGTGGATCTACAGTCTCACATTCATAAACCGGTAAGTACTTAAAAAACATTTAATATGTAAAGTCAATATTTGTTGTGAGACGACGAACCTCAGTTAGTGTCTTAGATTGAGAATCTTCTGTAAATAGCGAATGTCATCAAGACTTCGTTATCTAATGTATTTACTAGGCATTTTAGTGGTTCACATTTTAATGTCGAGTCCTAGTATTTTTTTGTGTCTGTGAGTACCCTATAAATCTGGTAAGTACTGTACAGAGTCGTAACATCTTTTGCACACATGTACGCTTTGAGCTTTCTCTCATAAGCGATTCTCTTGTACTCATTTCAGAATATATTGGAGCTGAAACTAGATCTTATTTAGATCCTGTTGGTCAATCTTACTTTGATTTTACTTCAATTGACTGAAACATAAAACAAGCATACTTTCAATTGGTATTAGAGCAGGAATCTACATATCGATAGAAGAATCCTTTTCACGTCTTCATCTTATTGAATCGTTCCTTTTGATTCAATTATTCCGCAAGATTGAAACATAATTCTTCGTTTGATTGATTGTGATTAAACGATTATGCGTTTGCTTTTCTTAATTGATTTTGCATCCAATTTATTTATGTTCAAAGATAATCCTTGAACGTCAACACCATGATGAACTATGCGAACCTACTTAGATTGCTACAAAAGTTCCAATGTTGCTTCCAGAGTACTACGATCAATGGGTGGATCGTATGAAAGACTATCTCAATGGAATCGACGAAGATCTTTGGAGATTCATCGAAACTGGACCGTATCATGTTGATTTGTTTTAGGCTGTTGGAAATGCAGGTGTTGCCGAGGACATGATTACTCAAGGCAACAAGAAGAAGGCGAATGACAAAAGATGTCTTGGTGGACTGCGAGGAGCTCTCCCACCAGTTGTTTAAAATTATGTTCGAGGTTTCATGATAGGAAGGAGAGTTGGGATACTTTAAAAGAGAAGTACCAAGGGAACGAAAGAACCAAAAAGAGCTCTATGGCGCAATTCTTGTTAAAATTAGCTGATTTTAAGCAAAAGGAGAGTGAGACTATTAAAGCGTATTACGAAAGGTTGAATGAGCTCATCTTTAAGTGAAACAGATATAGAGTAGATCATATAACTTTGGAGTTCAATATCACCTTCATTTTGGGACTAAGAAAGGAATGGAGAAATATTTGTCTCAGGATCAAGATTCGGGAGAATTTGAACACCTACTCTTTGTTGAGTCTCTATAACATACTGAAAGCACATGAGTCAGAAGTAAAAGATATAGCTGAAGAGAACAAAATGAATTTTGGAGGTTCAATAACACTAGTCTCCAAGACAACTTCAAAAGAGAAAGAAGGTGAAGAAGGTTTTCTACTCAACTCTAATGACGAAGTTGTTGCTTATTACTTTAATAATAGGGTAAAGAAGTTCTACATGAAGCCAATTAGTGGAAATTTAAAAAACAATTCAGAGAAGAAGCCAATGACGAACTCTGGTGCTGAACAAAAAGGTGTTGAGAAAGTAGAGAGGTGAAGAGAAGAAGATTGAGAAAAAGCTGAAAGGTGATTTCGGTTACAATTGTAACTATTGTAATGGATATACCCATCTATCAAATGACAACATGTTAAGGATGAGGGACGAGGAGAAGAAACAGAAAGTGAAGGATGAGGCATACCACTCAATGAAAATAGAATAACTTCAAAGTATAAGACTCTTTCCTTGGTGGCAAAGGTTGTTGTTGATGATGAAGGGGCATATTAAATACGACCCTCTGGCTTTGATGACGAAGAAATGTGTCATCCAACTCATGGAGTCATGTTTGAAAAAGATGAAGAGGGCCATTATGGAGGATAGAGCTTTTTTAGTGATGCGGATGAAGATAGTGATTGTGATGAAATGGATAATGAGAAATGAGAAGAGAATGAAGAACAGGATGAGAAGCTGACTGGAAGGTGCTTCGTGACCACTGCCCAAAGTCTCCAATGACTGCACATGTACGTGATCTTCTTGTTTCTCTTAATGTTCCTTTAAATTCTTACAATGCTATTTTATCCGACTTTTATGATACTTGCTATTACCTGAATGATATGATGATCTCTATGAGTAGCGAAATGGAGATATCTAAGACCTTACTTTATGAAGCATGTAATAAGTTGGAGGAGAAGAATAGTAGAATAGAAGGCTTAGAGTTAAAAGTTACGAACATTATGACTGATATGGTTTCTATTCGTATGGACAATAACATGTTGGTAAAACCAAGAAATATCTATTGTAATACCACTAAGCGCATGTACCGAAAACTGACTACCTTTATCATTCATTGGAAATATGTAAAGAGCAACATAGG